TGGAAGCTGTGGGACCCATGCTTGTGGGAGTCAAGGCCACACCACTGCTGGTGCATGGTGGTTCTGGCCAGGGAGCCACAAATTGCTCGAGCTCAATCACTGGGCCTTGTCAAGTGTGCTTGTGGGTGCAATTCACCAGGGTGGTACCAGGTGCTGTGCCATTTCAGCATCTGCCCAACCTCAAAAACCTCAGGATCTGTGACTATGTCATGAGGGCACATAATCTTGATTGTCTTCAACACTTGCATGTCTGGGGGTACACGATCAGGTTTCCAGACCATCCAGACAAGCATGCATTTTCGAAAAGGCACTGGCAATGTCAGGGCCTGTCATGAATGCCCCAATCCAGTGGTCAAATTAATCAATGAAAGTACCCATAGCAGGGTCAAGGTCTGTGTCCAGATATTCTAGCATGCCAAAGATGTCCTAGGAGGTGTTGACAAAAAGTGACCAATATGACTGTGTCTCAAAATGTAAATGGGAGTTGCTAGAGAAAATTTTAATTAATGAAATCTGAACCAGAAAAAAATCATGCCTTCAGATGCAGGAGACATCGCCAACATGACCCCAGCCATGAATCAGGTCTCAGAGGACCTTCATAGTGTGGGTGCTTCTTTAGCCAATCTTGCAAACATTTGTCTAGTTGATTATAAATGGTCTCCATTGACTTCCACTTGTCAGCATGAATCCTGCCAACTTTGAAGGGAGACCCTCTTTCCAGCACAAAATCCTCTGCTGACTGGGTAATGTTCCACCACAGCCACTTCCATGTTGGGTTGTCTCCATAGGCCACTTTCCAGGGGACACATGGACTCCATGTGTAGCATTCTGCGAACAACTGTGGCCATTGAAAACAGTCTATATGGCCGAACCATCCATCGCATAGGGGCATGATTGTTTCTCCATCGAAGATGAAGGGTTGGGGAACATAGTCAGCATTTGGCAATGTGATCCAGTGGTCATCACACTATGCTAGGATGCATGCATCGAATGCACCCCATCTCCCTGAAAATAATGATAATCAATTTGAGCTGAGTTGGGGACAGCGAGAATGCACTGTCACCAGGGTGGTTGTGCAATGATAATTCATAAGGGTAAACACTAGCTACATTCATCCTGGAAACAAAAGAAGTCAGTCAGTACTTACTTAAATTGACAGAGATGACAATGAGGGGAGAAAAAAAAGAATCATGCAGTGTTAAGGCCAGTGTAACTGAAATGAAACAAGAATGTTGCCCTCGATAGGCCCCAAGCCTATTGAGAACTCATGAGGCACCAAATGCCAGAGCACTTGGCAGAAAAATGCTCTAAATGTTTGGAAGAAAAGTATGAATGAAAGAGAATAAAAACTTTCAAAAAATGTCTTCTTGACAAAGAGTGATGATGATTGGTGTATTGACTCTGCATGCATATAGACTATGTTATTGCCTGAGTTTCAATGAAGAAATGCCCCAGAAACCATGAGGATAACTCTTGATAGGCCCCAAGCCTATCAACAACTTGCAGGCACCAAACCCCCAAGACCTGACAGACAAATGCTCCAAATGTTTGTGGAAAGAGCAACCAGGCCATCTGGAAAAGTAAGATGGAAAAGATAGAGGGAAACTTACCTTGCACTGAATTGGTTTATACAGAGGGGCATTGGCAACTCAAAGTAGTAGGTAGCACTTACTAGTAGTAGTGAGAAATATTATGGGTACTGCTGTGCACATGACCTGCACCACAAATGAATGTGACACCTGACTTACAGCATGCTCAAGGAAGACATTGAGTCTAGGCTCTAAATTGTCAAACAATCAGGTGATTAGATATAAGTTTTGTGTTCTGTATTTCATTCCTCAATGTTCCGGACTGCCTATTGTAATATTTGCAGGAGATGCATTCATGCATTACAGTAATGACATGTTGATAAGCTACTTATAGCAAGTCCTAGTTACAAGTACTAGTGCGCTGTTGCTACTTTGTTAATAGATTTGGCCACTTTTACTGATGTGACTAAAGTTTTGATGAATGACAGAATTTTAACATGTCATTTCACAATTGCACAATTGTTACATCATCACAGCTGAAACAAACATTCGCACCACCCACAGCTAGTACTTAGCGACACTCTTGTCTTCTGTATGCTGTCCACATGGTATTGGGGGAATGCTCAGTGCATTCCTCTACCATATGTCAGGGGCTTGGTGCCCTTGACAGCCTTGAAGGCTTGGAGCCTTCAAGGGTGGTCTTTGTGTCCAGTGGATCTGATGATCAATCGCATGATGACAGTCAAGACTGACCCTCATCTTTCAGCAACATTAATGAAGGTTTTGCAGGTCAGTGCTTTTGAGTTAAGTTATGCATCATTATGCTTTGCAGTCTACTGACCCATTTACCAGTGCATACTACATGTACTAGGTCCATCATCCTCCCCACCTCTGGCTGCACTCCATCATTCCACCTGGCCAGTATATGCCTTCTATACTGACACCCTTGTCTCCCCACTCATCTACCCTTCGTACAAATTCAGTGATCAATTGTGTAGACAATAGTGCAGTTCTCCCCTCACCTTTTAGTCCTGAAGATTCAAGTTAGCAACACATCTGTTCATATCTATCCCTGCTGATCGAATACATGGTGTGTTCCTCTATGGTATCGGAGACTTGGTGCAATTATACCTTCAAGGGCAGTGATTCTGATTGTCAATCTCAAGTTCTCCTTTCTACTACAAATTTTCTCCAGGTTGCCTCATGATCAACCATGCGAAGTTCTAATGTGGGTACATGGTTAGCTTTTCAGTGTATCTTATCCATCAATTTCTGCTACTTCCTCCAGGGTATTACGAAGAGTTATGTCACATCTAAGTGCACAATTTGTTGTGGTCAAACTTCTGGTTTTCCCACAATGGCTTCCAACAAATGGGGAAAGGGAATGAGGTAGCCTTCTGCTGGAGATCTGCCATCATACTTACAATTCTCCATGCATTCACTCTCCAGCCTTTCCTTCCCATTCCCTGACCCCACCATGTCCAAAATACCTTCACCCAGTACTGGATTGGATATAAGCTCTAGCAACCTTAGTACATGTTTTTCTGACTAACTCCTGATGACTAATGCATTTTGGCACAGGTGCTCTAATTACTCTGATCAGAAACCTCAAATTGAATGCAGCAGATGCTGAAATGCTAGCAAGTGCTTTGTTACTAAGATCTTGTGCTGAAGGTGAGTATGTTCTTAAGTGACATTTCTGGACTGATCATATTGCAGCCTTCATAGGGTCATCCAGCTTGCAACCCACATACCCCACAGCATTATGCCCATCGAGTCTGGGGGTTTCAGGATTGTTGTCCTGCAAAGAGTGTACACCTGCCACCTTATCCCCCTCGATCCCCATTTACATGGAATTTCCCACACCACCAGTATTGATACATCTAATGCCACCTAACTCAACTGATCCCTCCACTATTCTTGTCCATGGCCACCCAGATCATGAAGCAAAGGTTCCATATCTAGCAGATGACTGTGTGCATACTCCCACCAGAATTTTTTTTACCATATCCATGTAAAGACTAACAGCTATTGTATTATCTATTGGCAAGTATTTCTCACAGCAGTCTTCAATTAATTACTATGAAGTATAAATCCTGAGGCCATGTATTGCATATGGCAGCCTGATTGTGAGGCAAGTTGCAACTCGGCACTTTCCATCCTTCGTAAATTTCTACCATTCAAGCTCTACCACTTAGCAGCAGAACACTTGGAGCATCTCTCTGCTAAATGTCATGGGCTTGGTGCCCTTGACAGCCCCTGAAGGCTTGGGGCCTTCAAGGGTGGTCTTGGTGTTGATCCAGTGATAAATTGCACAGATGACAATGACCCTTGTCACTCAGTACTGGAGATTTGTTTCAGCAATAACTTTGCCCAAAGGTCATCATACCTCTGATGTTCAGTCTACATTATATGCTCAATTTGGCTATCAATCACATGAAAGGGACCGTGTCTATTGGACTGTGTCAACCCTGCTCTCATCAGTGACTGCCATTAGGGGCTTGAACGATTCATTTTCTGTCTAGTAAGCCCATTCCTTTCTCTATTGCTGGATACTGATGAACTCTTGTGGTTTTTCAGTCCTGAGGAAACCCACTTTCTGGGTCTTGCAGACAGAATACTGCTGTTCTGGATTTTGATTGGAATTCCACCCATATGTTTCCATTTTAATAGGTGTGTCATCCTCACTACACATTACAACCACTTCTTTCCTGCATGCTTTTCCTTTGTCCCCCTTATGTCATGTCCTCTTTCCATGGTTTCATATGTCCTTGCTGATGCTATATCCAGAACTTTGCATGCTGAGACAACATGTTCCAGACAGATTTTTTTTCCCATGTGGTTCATCTTGGCTTGATGTGCTCTGACCTTAAATACTCACCTTGCCTCCCCCCATTTCTCAACACCCCCATACAACCATGCCCTGCTCTGCTGATATCCCAGAGCCTTCAAGGGACTCTGTTGCTGACTTGAACACTTGCATTCTTTGCAATCGAAGGATTCTGTCCTCACAAAATGCCCCAGTTTCCAAATGAGTAAAAAAAGGTGGTGCTGTTGTCTCTAATGATGGAGTGCAACACTCAGAGGTACATCTTGTAGTATATTTCTCATCCATTACTCTAATTTTGTTTTCCATTCATGGCAATCTACTCCAAAGGATATGATTGGCAAACTGAAACTGCAGTGTGCAGTCCAGCCTCCCAAAGGCTGGGAAGAGCACATGTTTGGCCTGAGAGATAGAAGACACTCCTTGACACCTCACCCTTCCATCATGAACACCCCAATGCTCCCTTCCCCTTCCCTGCACCTGGACAACCAAATCTGTGATGAGGACTCTGCAATGGAGGAGATGGAGGAGAATCCTGACAACAACAAAAATGAGGATGACCAGCCTTCCAGTAATGAGAATGAGGATGATCAGCTGTCCAGTAGCAAGAACAAGGATGACCTGCCATCTGGTAGTGAGGAAGAGGATGACCTGCCATCCAGTAGTGAGAAAGAGGATGACCAGCTGCCCAGTAGTGGTGACGACAACAAGGGTTCCAATTACAATGAGAATGATGACAAGATGGAGAGCTCGAGCAACTCCTGTGGTAGGTTTTTCTGTTTCATATCCCTTGTTCTCTCATGTTTTTTTTCAGATAATTCTCATTTCTTTTGATTTCAGGGTTTGGTGCCTCTCTGGTCATGCGATAGTGGGCTTGGTGCCCACTTGTGTTTCAAAGTTTGGTGCTTTGGATACTCATGACTGTTTCCTGCTGCCCATCATTCCCTTGGTTGTTATATAGATAAAGAATTGTTGTGATCCTGTTCTGTTACCATCTATATACACATCTGCCTCATGTTGACATGTTGACTCCTAGATGATGATGATCCATGCACTCACAATGCTCAGACCATTTCTTGTGCCCAGTCCCTGCTTCCCCCATCCTCACCACCTGTGTACAAGTCTGATGACTCTGCCCATCCTGTAGGGGATGTTGTCCATCCTTGCCAAGAAGGTGGCCCAATCTATACTAGACTTCAGAAGAAGGGCAAAGGTAGGGCTATAGATGCTGAGGACATTGATGCTGAAAACCACAGTGACCGTGACACCCAACTCCTGAACCTCAAGAAGCTGGGGAATCTGTCCACAGCAGCATTAGATGAAATATGTGCTTTTGCGAAGGATGTCAAGACAATGGCAGAAGAACTTGGCTGATGGCACAGGTGGTCTACACATGACATACTTGTTGCTGCACGATTTAGTGTTAAGGCTTCTCATACCAAAATTAATGAGGCCAACCTCTTCTGCTCATGGTATTGGGCCACACAGCCCAAACCAGATGGTGGTATGGCTTTCCTCCCTCTCACATCTATTGTTCTAACATCCTGACCAGCCAATCAAAATTCAATCAACAATTTGATTACGAAGGAGTACAACACCCTCATGATAGGCATCCCCAAGGATGACTTCGCAGCAAGGAGGGAAAAGTTAAAAGCTATGAGTGGAGTGAGAGCTCCTCCACCATACCGACTAATCTATCTGTCAAATCTATTGCAGCTAGAGTGGACAATGCAAAGACACAATTTTCTGGATTGGTATGTGGTTGCAACTGTGCAGCCATCGATTCTGATTGTTCCACAGGCAGAGGCAAGGTCCAATCTCGAGGATATTGAGATAGTTGGAGTGGTAATGTATGTTGGACAGGACCCTGCAGGACATCAAACTTCTGGCATATTTGGAGGCTCCAAGATGATAAGAAAATTCATGAATGAAAATGGCATTGATGTCTGGTCACTCATGGATAAGTATACTGCAATTTTCAGGTAAGCTTATTTCTTGCATGTTTCATTTGACCTCATTGGATTGTTGTAGGTGTCTCAGGAATGGCAATGGTGTGGATGCCAGGGTGGCCAGCACCAGTTCCATTGGAGATGTGGGTTTTGCACTGAAACTACATTGCTGTACAAAGGAGACTCCAAGAGACTGCAACCACAGAGTATTTGGAAGCATGATGAAGGAGAAGATGTTGGCCACATTGAGAGATCTGCATGGTAAGTTATTCTTGTTCTGTACATGCATTTATCTTGATCCTTTGCTCAGTCACATGTGGCATTGAAGTTGGCAATCCCCAGAAAGTTTCCTGGCACCAGCTTCTCGAGTTTTTGTGGAAGAGCCACCTCACTATTGTCAACTGGCCCCATGGTGTATCTCCACTGGGCCCTGGTTTTAAGTACAAGAAATTTAAGGCTGGCCCTCTTTGTCAACTTGTAGTACCTTGCCTTTGGAGAAAACTGGGTCTTTTGTATGATGAGCAAACTGATGATGAGGAAGAACAAGATAGTCTGGATGATGTGCTGGAAATTGAGATTAAGTGCTGGAATGAAGGTATTCCCTATTTTATTCATCCAGTCGGATGCTGAAGTTCTGTTTAGAGGTCATTGATATTTTGGATGCTGACCCTTTGAAGGGTGAGATTGTGCTTGTCAAAGCTACCAATGGTACTGTTTTGCAGCAGATCTCAGATGATCCAGAGTGGCAGAAGTCCCTCAAGGAAATGGATCACCAGCAGCAAGGCATGGAGGTCCTTCGACAGCCACTACCCTGACTGCAGCAACAACTCCCTTTTCCCTCTCGGAAGCAACCCCATGTGGAGGCGTCAAATTGCGATACTATTGGTCCCCAGGTAAGTTCTGCTCTTTACTCAGTATCCAGTATCTGCTGACATTTGCAAGGCTTTACAGTCTGACTGTTGAACTGCGCCACATGATCAATGCTGGGATACATGCCCCACTGTGCAAGATTTGTGTCATGACCCATCCACAATTCCAAGCAATGTGCACACTCGAGAGCCTGGCCCATCTGAGCCTCCTGCACTGGCTCCACAATACAGGGTAGGGTTTGGTTCCTATGGTCTGATAACAAGACTAATGAAGCATTGTATAGGATCTACATCAGGATAATCTTCCAAGCTGTCCTCACATGCAAGAGGCTGGCCCAGCCCAGCAGTCTTTTCCCAGATGACAAGTGAGTATCCAGGTCTCTGACTTTTGGTAACAAGACTAAGGAAAAATTATGTAGGATTCTTGGGGTGACTGTACAGACTATCATGATCCTGGCCCATCTAATATCCCATATCATGTGAGTAATTCAATTTTGCAGAGGTTTCACCATCAACTTGCATTCTCTCTAGGCATTACCTTCTGGCCACCACAATCAATTTCCTCTGTCTCGCCAAGGATTCCATCATGTTCTGTCTTGAACCAATCATCCTTACTACAATGGTCCATATACCAACAACTACTACCCTCCAACCCAGTTGGGTGAACCTCATTGGGTTAACAGGGGTAATGCTGCACAATATGAGGATGACTTCGCTGAGGAGTATATAAATGAAGATTACTACTAGTGTAGTTTTTGCTTCCCCTACAACATATTTGTCATGCACCACTTGTATATTGATGTCACTGGTGTCAGCGATGATGTTACCATCAGATTTGGGGGACAAGTCTGTGGCTCTCCACTCAGTCCTGTGCCTTTCCTATCGCTTTTCACACCACTTGTTCCCCTCACCAAGACCTCTCTGGGGGGGGCCTCTTTTGTCTAATTCCATGGAGCTGCTATTGAGATATCACCATTTTTGTGTTTGGAGGGCAGTGAGACAGTTTTGCACATAGCTCAGGATCTGATGGTCTGATCATGGTGGCTCCTTTTTTTCCATGTTTATCTACAAGTACCCAACCACTTCCTGAGGCCCGTGTTGATCACCCCAGCCATTGTCCTGAGGTCATCACCTGCTTGTTCACTTTCCTGGAGTTACCCCTATCATCTTGGGGCTGTATCTCAGTGGTTTCTCTGACATGTCTCTCGCTTTTTTGCAGACTCGCACTACTAGATGACGACTCCCTGGGGATGTCTGGATCATTGTGATTGGTGCAGCAGTTATGGAGATGTTCGCATTTTTGTGGCAAGGCCCACCCCTTGAGGTCCTCTCATTGTACCTCATGCATATCTGCACCACTTCTCTCGCTTTTCAAGCCACAAATCCCTCTCACTGACCCATTTCTGGGGTGCCCTTGTTCACCCAATTCTGCTTGCTCATTGTTGAGATATTCCTGCTGTTGTGTTTGAAGGGTTTTGAGGTGGTTTAGCATATACCTCAAGATTGGGTGATCCAATTGGCATTTTCTGTTTTTCTCCCTGATTGCCTGGGAGTCCTCTACTGCATCCCATAGTTTTGTGTCAGTCGCCGCAGCCATTACTGTTACATTTCAGTACTGGCCACTTATCAACTCTTTGTTAGGGGCGGTCCAGGGTCAAATCACATATGGTACCAATGTCCATCACATGTCCATTGCTGTTAGGCACTGTACATGATGCCTCAATCTGTATATACAGTTCCCGCAGTCCTAGCTACTGTGTTTGTGCCTTGTTGCTCCTCATGTTACAGCTATTTTCAAAACTGAGAGCAAGGCGAAATAAACAAAATCACACACATATAGTAGCTAAATGTTATAACTTTGATATCTCAATCAATTCAAGTCAGATCACCGCAATTTTTGCAGATTCAGAATCAGGGAAATTAGATGCAGGTCCTGGTGAAAAAATTAGACTAGTTCTAGCACTATATAAGTCTGAAAAAGCATAGGCTGATTTCACATATACAATCAAAATTGCAAGTGATCTAGGCATCTGTACACCTTAGCAAACTAATAGTGGTCTTCTATACATCAATTGTCCAGCAGGCTTTCAATGCTTTTTGGGCAGTAGAGAGCCCTCTGCTTCCAGATGTTCATTGCACATATAAGTAAGATTGGAAGCCTATTATTGCATATTTCTTCACACAAGATTCATATCCTTGGAGCCCTGTGTATCATCTAGAGAACAGTACCAAAAATTTATGCAATTATGCAGTGTGTTGTTGTGATCTGAAGTTCTACACCTAGTATTGTCTTATCTACACTTGGTGGCTGCTTACCAATCATGTGCTACCCCCTACCTGTGTCCCCTTGCCTCACATCTCAAGACTTGCTTCAAATAAAATCATAGTAGAAGGACATGAGATTGAGAAATAATACAACACTTGAGACCTGCAGAGTATGATTGCTGCATACAATTTGAATAGCATTCTTTGGGTGCCATGACTATTTCAAGCAATGATATGCATAGGACATTTGGAGCCATTGAGTGAACCTGATCATGTCAGCAACTACTCATGCATATGGCTACACCCACTCAAATGCAGTTATTCACTGCTCACTGCTCATCTGGTCACTGACTTTTCATCTCTGCACATATTCTTTGGTACTGTTCTCTAGAAATTACACAGGGCTCAAAGGATATGAATCTTGTGTGAAGAATTATGCAATAATGGGCTCACAATGTTGGTTATATGTGAAATGGACATCTGCAAGGCAGACCTGTGTCTCATTGCCCTGATTCTGAATCTCCAAAAATCATGGTGATCTGACTTGAACTGATTGGTGCCATTGATTGAGCCTGTTACAATGTGACAATATATATGCCAATTGTGGGCAGAGGGCAATGTGGATGTCAGAGATACAGGGTAGGATGTCCAACATTTGCCTCTGTGGCATTTGTATAACATCTCACTGGTGTCCAGAGGGGGAGATGGGATGTCCCAACATAGCCTGAGAGGCTGCTGTGGGACATCCCACCAGTTTCTGGAAGGGGGGATGGGATGTTCCAACATAGCCTGAGAGGCTGCTGTGGGACATCCCACCAGTTTCTGGAAGGGGGGATGGGATGTTCCAACATAGCCTGAAAGGCTGTTGTGGGACATCCCACTGGTTTCTGGAAAGGGGGTTGGGATGTCCCAACATAGCCTGAAAGGCTGTTGTGGGACATCCCACTGGTTTATGGAAGGGGGATGGGATGTTCCAACATAGCCTGAGAGGCTGTTGTGGGACATCCCACTGGCTGCTGGAGGGGGGGGGGGGGGGGGGATGTCCCAATGTAGCCTTATGATGGAAATGTGACCAGAGCTGGGATTGAAGCAACCCCTTAGGTGTTAACCAGGTGATCTGACTGCTCAGCTGTGTATATTGTCTAGGTGATAGCATCAGTAGCATGGGGCATGGACCAGTGAGGTGGGAACAAAACTATGTGGAGTGCAATGCACAGAATACACCATTTCCAACATGGTCCTTCAATCTGGAAATTTTTGGAGTGCAACAAGGGTGCATGCCCCCTATGATCATGCAAATGGTCTGATAGCATTTTGGCCTTGTGTTATGTGGAGAGTGGTGTGGGACATCTGGCCAGACAGGGGGGTGGGATGTCCCCACTTAGCCTTAGAGGCTGCTGTGGGACATCAACATCCCACTGCTGGCCAGATGGTGGGGAGGGATGTCCCAATGTAGGTGTAGGGGCTGTTGTGGGACATCCCACTGGTTGGCAAAGGGGAGGGTGGGATGCCCCAATGTAGCCTCAGAGGCTGTTGTGGGACATCCCACTGGTTGCCAGAGGGGGAGAGGGATATCCCAATGTAGCCTTAGAGGCTATTGTGGGACATCCCACTGGTTGGAAAGGGGGAGGGTGGGATGCCCCAATGTAGCCTTAGACGCTGTTGGGGGACATCCCACTGGTTGGCAGTGGGGAGGGTGGGATGTCCCAATGTAGGCTTGGAAGCTGTTGTGGGACATCCCACTGCTTGGGCAAAGGGGAGGGTGGGACATCCCAAGTCCCCTTATGAAAGTCAGTGGGATGTCCCATCCCAGCCTCAGTGGGCTATGATGGCACATCCTCCAAAGTTACTTTTGCAGACCAGCACAATGTCCCATGATGACCTCAGAGGCTCATCTGGGACATTCTGCCCTCTGCAGATGGTGTTGCAAAGGTGACCAACCCCATGTTCTATGTGGGGGACTTTGAGATATTGGCTTGTCACACAAGTGTTCAAAAACCATTCACTTCTTCCTTCATACAGTACAAATTGCATGAGGTATAGGCACAAATTGATTGAATTTATTATTGCAATTTTCAAGGCAAATGTGGAGGCCCAGGTGGGTCATCTCCCTGGAAACTAGTGAGATGACCCAATACAGCAGAATCACACTGCAAAGATGTACATGAAAAGTACTATTGTATACTACTATGCATGGTGGGATGGGAGGGGATGTATAGGTCAAAGGATACTTTGTGGATTAAATCTGTCAGAGGAGCAAGGGGGCTAGGATTTCTGTAGCTATTTCAATGCTAATATAAGCTGCACTTTCAGGAGTAGGGACCCCAGTCACCCAAGGCAGTCTTGGGACATCCCAAATAATTGCATTTGAATGGATGGCTATGTGGGAAATCCCATCTGTCCCAGGGCCTAAAAATCTGCATAGCCCTGGGACATGACCAGATGTCCCTGGGCAGACCTTGGTCTGGGAGGCTATTAGGCTGGATAGTTTGGAGAAACTATTCAGCCTAAATGCTTATGAAGAATGGTTGCCTGAAGTGGGATTATCAGAGTAACTTTGTTGATTCCAGACTGAAGAGCACAGACCAGAGACAACTATAGTATGGAGACTGGTACTGCTGGTCTCACAAAGATTGCTAAGGTGATTGGTAAGACAAATATTAGTAAGGTATGATTAAGGTAATGGAGACCAGGACAGGGCAGACCAGGGACAAGGCCAGGCAGAAATTAACCAAAGTGACATGCACTGCAGAGCAGTGTTCACTGTGCTAGGACATCTGGGGTAAGGAACTAGTGAGGCCAAGGCCAGACTGCACAAGTGTGAAACTGAGTCCAACTGGGGTTGAGGCACAACTATGACAGTATCCCCCTCTTAGGGGTCAAACCCATGAGACCCCTGCAAGAGTGGTAGGCTGAGTCCAAACTTTGGCTGAGTTTGAAAAACTGATACTTGTGACCTGCTAAGCTCTTTGTGTCTTTCATTCACATCCTCTCCATCATGTCCAACTCAAGACTGATCACCACTGCTGACAACAACAATGAAGGCCAAGTTGTTGTTGACTGGGCCCAAGTCCCTGGTGATGACATCAGGTACAACACTGATAATGAAGAGGAGGTGATGAAGGCAAAGGCAAAGGAGAGGAAGAGACAAAAGGCAGCTGAACAAGCCCAGTAGGAGGAGCAGGCTTGGCTTGAGGCCAAAAGAGCAGAGAGGGAGAAGGCCAAGAAGGCAGAGCAGGAGGCCAAGGAGAGAAGGGCACATGAGGATGAAGAGAGATGCAAGGTTGAGGAGGAAAGGGAGGCTGAGCAAAAATGCAAGGCCAGGGCTGACAAGGGTGACAAGGCCAGGGGAAGGCAAAGAAGGTGGTCTTGGACCCCAGGTAAGTAACCTTTCCTATTCCTGCACATTTTCTCTGAAGTCTACCTTTAGATGTACCTGCTGCACCTGGGCAAAGACCATCTGCAAGTTTCTTGTGGATGGT